CCCCAGTACTCATCAATTTTTAACATCCTCTTTCAACTATAGGGGTGGAAAACTCTGTATGGAATATGATAAAGAAATGAGAGAAAACCAGACTTTTGCCCTTTCATCAATTCTAGCTGAAATTTTCAGATTTAAGATGTGTGTGTGTAACTAAAACTATGTACTTTATCTATGTAAAGCTACTTTCCACTTGAACAAGTTAAAACCATGCTGTGGGTTAAGCTATTAAAATGTTGTTGATCACAGGCAAAACTGTGTTCAAAACCATTGGGTGGGAACACTTCTAGATTTATTTGTTTGTTTATTTTCAGAATCCACATTCCTCGGGCGGCAGTCAAGTGGTAAGCACTTTTCCTTTTTGTAGCGTCTACTTGTTTCTTCCTTATACATATTGGATAAAACTGGAAATATTGTTTATACTGTGAGGTATCTGCCAGATTTCCTATATCTGAATAAATGTTTGAGATACATGTGCAATGTAATAAATGGGAATAGTATCAACAAAAATGAGGAAAAGTGGGATGACATAAGTGCTTTATACTTTTGATCCTGCCTATCACTTGAAAACCAAACACACGTTGATTTACGTGTAGTATGGATGTGGCACACGATCTTTTAACATCAGAAGTATCTACATAATAGAAGGGGCTAATAGGAAAAGATTTCTCTGAAACTTTCTATGTTTTTATAATAGTAATAAATAGAAGTATTTTGAATTGGGTTTATCAAATTGCTCTCTTTTTTTATAGAGCTCTGCTGGGAAACATTCCACTCCCCGACTCCTGCTGTTATTCAGTGTTTTGAGTGCCTTTGCTCTCTCTGCTGCTACATCAAAATGGTCTATATGAACTTCTGAAGAGTTGCTTGGCATCCTAGACATGGATTATATTCAGTAATATTAGGTTAATTACTTGATGTAAGAAAAAAAAAACCACCCTTAAGTCAAATTGGCAGATGCTACTTGGCTGTTATGTTGTATTTCTAGCTAGTATGTCATGCCTCTCATTAGTTTACCTTTGGTTTTAGTCATTAGTAGATATCATTAGTTTTGCCAGTGTTTTAGGCCCCATTTTAAGAGAGCATATTGTACCCTACCTATATGACTTTTTCTATTTCCAATGGGGAATGCGATGAACACCTACCTGAAATCTGATTGGTGCAACAAACAAATACTTGGAAAATATTTGGTTGTTAACCAAAGCGGAGGAGGTAAAAAAAAAATTGTTGTATATGCAAACTGAGCACCGTGCCTGGGCGTCATCGCATAAAATAAGGCTAATGTAAACATCTGATAAGCAGTCCTCCATGGGACAGAAGAAAAGATGCTGAAATACTATCAGAGTACTGGTTTTAGTCTATTGTAATCAAATGCAAGTTCAATATGGAGGTTGCAAAGCACAAAAAATACTCCATGGGACTGAAATTTTTTGGGGTTAATTAAAGTTTATTCATTAGAGAAGCCAAACAGCTCAGAGCAAAGAAATGCTAAACTCTGTTCAAACTGATTGCAAATACCTAGAGTTCTGTAGAGAAGCATGTGAGGCAGCGCACCCCAGATTAGGCTGATAGTCTAAAACCTGCTGAAAAACAATGCATTTTCCCTTGGGAAGGAATGGAAATTTAATTAAGTTCATAAAGCTGATAGTATCTTGGCTCCTTTTCTCAAGTATTTAGTCTAACCTGTGATACCCAATATACCTGAAATTTTAATTTCAAGAACCATACTGACATCTGCAAGCAGGTACAGTAAATGTGGTCACAGAAGAGACCACAGCCCATTTTTGAGTTCAGGAGCAGTTCCACATCTCGCAGGAAATTCTTTTGGAGCTGCCAGAGCCGCCTTCTGTTTGTGCAGTGACCCATTGCTCTGGCACCTTGTTAGCAGCGGTGTGGCCATTGCACTGCCGCTCCTACAGCTCCTGCATCCGCGCTAGCTGAGGGCTAAGCTTCTTCGGTGTTGACAAAGTGCATTCTCCTAAAGCATACGTCTAATTAATGTCTTATTGAGCATGTGCCTAGTATTAAAATTACATGTGTCAGTGGTATGCTTGTTTCCCATGGTTTACAATTGTAATTGATGAAATATATTTCCATTCAAGTTCTGCTACCAACTTCAGCGGGGCCAGGATTTCACCTGTTTTTGATATGCTGTGCAGGACACATTATCCTTTGCCAACCATCAGTAAATCAACCTAAGTATCTGAAGCTGTAATTGAAGCATAAAGGAGTTTTGCCTAAATACGATCTTCAAAATTTGGTGGACAATTTCTTTCTTTGGAACACGCGATAAGGTTCTCTCCGAGAGGTCCGTATCTTAATTCGAACTAGCCTTGCGCTTAATAAATTTGTCATGGATTTCATACGAAACACTCGCGTCACTCGCTGCAGAAATACCCCTATCGAAAGACTTTTCTCGGTGAAGCTCCCCGCATCCTTCCGTCCCTGGGCGGAGGAGCGCTGCCTGGGAGCCGG